AATCACGAATTTCCCGTGCAACAAATGGTTATCGAGTAAATTATGGAGTCGTTTCGGTCTATGCGAAGAAACGTAACAGATTCTGAATCAGTATCGAGTAATTACCGATCTTCTGCCTGGCAATAATTAATCTTCTTATGCGGTGCACGGTTGACTCGGCCTGAAATTGGTGTAATTCACTAATTCCATAAATTACACGAGGAGCTTTGAGCAATTAGGGTACGTTTGACGTTCAGCAAATTATAGACGCTGGTAATCCACGTTCTATTGTCTCGTTCCCGTCTTGTATACAAGTTACAGCCAGGCATGGGAGTAATTAAGATGATGTACGATTCATTGAGGTTCATTCAAGCCTTCCATGCGCTGCTCTCGCGAAATAATCGCTCCCCTTCAATACCGGGAAAATTTCAAGTTCCTCGGAAATGAAGCTTCAAGTTACAAAAATTTTATTCTACATTTTAGACTTATTTCCTTACGTATAATCACCCCCCCCCCCGGTTGTACCACCAGTTACAATGTATCAATATACAATCGTCTTCACCTAACAATGACACAATTTTCCATCGGTCACGTTTATTCTTCCCAGCGAAAGCTTCCAAGCATCCCTCAGAGGCGACAAATGGTCGCGACTCGAGGGTCCAAGATAATGCAGATTATCCAGGCACGGAAGGGGTTGGCACTCAGGGTGGGGATGTAATCTTTACGCGCGCAGCCTCGTCCCGCCGTTAGAGGGTCGTCGTTCCCGTCGACGACGCACGTTTCATGAAAATGGAAACGGTCTAATGTGACACGGCGCGGCGCGGAACGAGAAAACCAGACCACGGGAACAGGAAGAAGAACCCGCTTGAAGAGGCGCGCTGAGCCGTGTATAGGGGATGAAAGCGACGTCGACGGACCAGGGGATGAGGTGAGGGGTGGCGTTATCGTGCGGGCCAGTTTTTTCTGCCATTTGCAAGCGTTATCCACGGGAGCACGGTTCCGCGGGATCTTTGACTGTTCGTGACTGCGCGGCCTCTGGGGTTCTTCTAATGCCTCCTGACCCGGGGCACCGAGCAAACCCGCCATAAGAACACCGCTTCCACTCGGACGGGCGTAATAAGGTGCTCCTGGAAGATGGACGATCCCACGGCACGTTAGATCCCTTCTACAGATCCTCGAGACCGACTCGTGGCTAAGGCGAACACCCGAGGGAGGTTTTCTTTTGGGAACGGGGGAAAAAACTACGCGGCCACGGTGGAATGAATTTTGATCGAACAACGGAGGGGTAACGTCGCGTGTCGCGAGGCCGAGGAATACATATGGCGGTGTTGGATTAATGAGAAGCGATCCGAGTGACTTGTGTGGTGTCGATTATGAATCTTTCGATTTTTCTTTTTTCTTTTTTATCAACAGACAGATGTACACTTTATTATTGATTATTTCGAGCCCATTCAAGCTTCAGCAAATAATTTTATTTCTTCGTTGAACATTGCATAAAGATAACTAGATTTGTTTCAGTGAAACCCAAACCGGTAAAAATAAGTGGAGTTTGGAAAAATGTTGGGATCGGAAGCCCAATTTTATCCAGTCTCAGTCGATTCTAAAAACCGAGATTCCGGTTGTCGATAAACTCTTCCATTCTGATCTCAGTGGATCGGATCTCCATCGTTTACAATCTCAGAGGTCGGATCTTCGTTCGAGATTTCGGGGGGCAAAACACGAATTTTTCTGTTATTTCTCGGATTAGTTTCGCGACTGAGATTTCGTATCAAGGAATGTTTGTTATGTTTATTCAGGGTCCGTCCAGAATTTTAGAAGTCACTCGACACGATTTCGATGAAGGAATCGATAAGAAGCTGATGCCTCTGGAGACATTTTCAAGGGGTTTGTACGTGCTCCCTTCGGTCGTGGCAATCGATACCCGACCTCGCTGCGATGGAAAGACACGACGTGCACTTCGGACAGGGTTCTTTTATCTGCATACGGTACCGATCTGAAGTTTCGAGTCGCTTATTCGACAGGAAGTGAACTGGAATGATTGAACGAAGAAGATTGAAATGAACTTCGTGAGGAGTTTACTTATCTGATATTATTTTACTCAAGTCTGGAATAATGGTGATTTGGAGTTAAACGGTATTCAATTTTGTATGCCTTTGCTTCACGTCGAAGAGACAACAGTGTCCGTTCGTCAATATATTTAACATATTTTCTACCAGATATACACATACTGAAATTAAATTGCTAGGTACCGTGTTTCGAATCAATCTCAAAGGATCACGAAGTTCGCCAGATAATTTCACTACAGATTCCCTTCCACGTTCCAACTCACTGCGCGATATCCACGATGACTTCACAATCCCCAGGGATAGGCAGACTGAATTTGTAAGTCGGGAACTAAAGAAAGAGGTCAAAGTAATTCCATCACGGATTACCCTTCTAACGATCAGATTAATCTCACGTTATCCTTCGGTTCCTCCAGCGATGGTGGCCAGAAACGATTTGTAATTCCAACGAGAGTGAGGGACGGTAATTAAGAGCTGAGTCGCAGAAAAACAAGGAATCGAGACGTGGAAACGTTCGAGATCGTTCAAAATCATTAGACGGTCCTTTCCTATCATGACAGATCTTCGGGTATACATATATCAATGTATAAATACATGTACAGGGTGATAGAAAAAAAAAGGTTCATAACTTCTAGGGTAGATAGTGCTCGCCAAATCATAAAAAATAGTCCTAATAAACATAGGTTGAAAAATGATTATTTGCAGAGTTATAAACAATTTTTGTTTCGGTTAAAGTTAATGACTCTCGCTCAAGGAGTCATCTTACCGTATAGACACTAATAAAAATTCTCGAAAATCTTCTGTAACCAGAACAAGAAGAAATGATAAGATCATTTGGCCTATCTATCCTAGAAGTTACGCATTCTTTTTTTCTATCATCCAGTATATAAAAAAAAAACGGATGAAGAAGCCGGACGTCCCTACCGAGGGCATAAATGTCTGTTATGTCTAGGATCGCACAATCGAACGGAGGACGGGCGAACTTCTTTTCTGCGACGAAAAGCGGAAGGATTTCTGACGAAAAAGCGCTTTTTCGTGAGAGCTTTCAGCTCCTTTCATCCTGAAAACGTGAGCCCCGTTATAATGTCGCGACAGAACGGCACACGCTGGGTTCTCCTCCTCCTTCACCTCCTCTTCCCACTACCTCCTATGCTTTTCGGGATTCACGTGACTCCCGCTGATACGGAAGAACGTATTGTCGTTTCTTCTCGCGGACCTTCGATCTTTTCTCCTGTCACCCGTCGTCGCCGTCGTCGTCGTCGTTCTCGCGCTCGTCTTTTCTGCGGCCGTTTTTACGACGACGTTTATAGCCTTTGAATCGGTAAGTCGGCAGACGGTTCTTCTATACAAATTGCTTTTTACGATTCCGATAGGTCGCTATTAACGTCCGTCTTTCCGTATTTTTATGTGTCCAAGGATTAATGTACTGCGGACTAGTAAGAATAACAGAACTTTATAACTGTTGTTCACCTTATCACTTGTTCTGCAAACAAATTTCTCAGGATCTGTTACGGAATAGTGGATAATTCTGTTCAGGTATTTATACTGTTGCGCAGAAGTTTCGAATCGTTTTATAATTTTTCTTGAAATTCTTCCAGACATTTCCTTGAGACCCTAATTAACACTTCCGACAATAATTACAAAATTGCTTACATTTTGCTTGTACAATTTTTCTTGAAATTCTTCCAGAGATTTCCTTGAGACCCTAATTAACACTTCCGACAATAATTACAAAATCGCTTACATTTTGCTTGTACTGAACACGATTTATAACTACACGAGTTCATTTCTTTTATTATGATCAATCGTTGTCGAAAAACAGAGCATTAGTTCTTCCATAAGAATATCGTTTTGTATATTTTTATAATAATTGTCTGTAATTGTTGTCCAAGTAGGATAAAGCATTAATTTTCTCTGTAATATTTTCACTGCAATTAATAATTGTTTCCTTGTTTGCAACACTAATTTCTTCGTAAGTATAACGTTAAATTTTTGTCTCTAGAAAAATTCCTCGATATCCTGATAACCAGCCAAGAATAAAGAATTTCGAACCACTGCATGGCCGAGATGGCCCACCCTAATTGTAAGAGAAAAACTAGACACACGATAAATCGCGACCCCACCCCACGGAACTGGCCCATTTTTTACAAGAATCGCTTTTTATCATCTTCTCGAGCACTTTAATATACGATCGCGCGATTTAAATTAATGAATTTTTCAACGCGACCGCGCCACGGCAAGGACATTAATTTTCCCCCGCGATGGTATTCGACCGCTCGATGGTAATTAATATCCGTTCGCGTGAAATTTCATTCGCGGAAGTAATTTAATACCGTATCGGGTCGAATATCCGACGGGTCGCGGGAGTTAAGAAACAGAACGTAAGTATTAACGTCGATGATGGATCTTTCTTGGAAATATTAGCCTCGATAGAGAGCTCGTTGGAAAACGGCCTAGGAATGAAAGCTTCACTTCCTATCAATATTCCTGCATAGCTTCATTCGAGTGTAGATATTCGCGGACTAATTTGTGAAAACAAGAATCTAGTATTCTTTATGTACATGTGAAGTACATACAGTGTTATAAAAAGATTATCTCGTTATCTGGCAGAACCGAGCATAAATCCTAAACAATTGAAAAGAAAATAAACCCTTCTGTCTGTTTCTCCATAGATGCATTAAGCCCTCAAACTAGTAATAAAATTTACAAACAGAAGATCGATATGACACGAACAGCATCTACTTTGAATCTCAATATTCGTTTCCTTCATATGAAACAATCACAAGAACCCACCACGAAAACCCTTCCAACCATTCCTCGAGCCTTCGAACCACTCCGACACAGAACCTCGTGAACATCAATCTTCTTTCAGAACCTTCGTAAACACACTCCTTGCTTGCCTGATCTCCAGCTCGCTAGGGAAAAACCGTGTAAATTATTATAAAAAGGACAACTCACCGTTGAGCACGTGCACAGCGATGGTGGTGTTCGCTTTTCCTGGCACCACGCAGCTGTAGTTCCCCGCGTGTCTCGGGCTGGCCCTCTCGACGACCAGAGTGCTGACGATCACGAGGACATCCTTCCCGGCGGATAGTTCTGTGGTTCTGTTTTCGCTGAAATTAAGATACCTCGATTTCAACCCACATAAAATAGACTCTTGATAACTTTCCACAATTGGGGCTGTCGGAGAGGGAATTTCTGGGTAACGGAAATTTAACAAATGCCTTCGAATCGACGAAGGATTAGTAGTTTGGAATAATTGATTCTACTGTGTGTTTACTGTTAGTTGAATTTGAATGCAAGAATTCACTTTAATGTTGACTAATGAAAGATAACGTTTGCAGTGATAATGTATTATTACTTAGATTCTATTCCTTACTACAGGAGGAACAGGGTTTAGATTCTGATTTACTGAATTACTTGGGCCATTGGTGATTCTTATTTTTTAATTCAGAGAACACAAACGTAAAGAAACATGGCTACCGTGCCTTACTACTTAAATTAGAAATTTCTACAATTCTTGCTGATTTTTTAGCTAGTTATTTAAGGTATTAAAAAATTTAAATGTAGGCAGGGTTTTTGTTATGGCAGAATCTAAAACAGCTCTAATTCGATCTTTTCGAATCCCGAACGTTCGATTTGGAAATTCCGTTCTTTCGGGAACCAGGAACATTTGAATAACGTTTGGAATTACAAGTACGACATTAGAGAGATTTACCTAACGTCGTTGGTGAGCGTTTCATCCCCTCTGGTCCAAATAACGGTCTCCTTCAGAGATTCAAGCACATCCCTCGCCTCGCACCTGAGCTTGAGAGCACTTCCAGCCTTTAGGTGCCTTTCTTTAGGCACCACTCGACCGGAATCGTCGGTTATTGTCAACTCCGGGGCTGTAATGAAAAGTAATTTCTCTGTGAAACGCTCAAATTTCCGCGCATAACTTCCTTATTAAAATTTCTCCACACTAATAACAATAATAATAATCAATAGAGCAATCATTGCTACGAATCATTTAATGACCAGAGCATTCAATCGTTATTTCAAAATTACAAGATTTATGTATGTTGTTACACTGTTCTTACTTGTTACTTTAAAGTAAAAAATATCTATATTAAGGCGACCTATTTTTTAATTCTATTTTATTTTCAGAGAGAATACTTGAATTTCTACACTGAAAACCGTGAGATCCACTTCACATCGGTGAAACTACAAATCTCTGCTGACAGAAGTTACATATTAATCCTCAAAGACATCTGTTTCTAAATTTTTTTACTCTAAAAATATTTTCTTTTCATCCATATTGTCTACCATGAGAATTAGAATATTATTAAATTAATAGATAAATAAGAAGCCTGCTATTGCTTTTTAAAATTAAGAAAAAAGTTACGTATTCGCGGTCCCTGTTCTTAAGGCTTAACAAATTGTGATCAAATTTGACGATCTTTCAGAATGGGAATTAAAGGGTTAAAATTTCAGTCAGTTACGCTTCGAAGCATTTCAAGGAACACCACGATAAATCTTCCAAAAGTAGTCACAGCCGTTTATCCCGTTAAACTTCCCCCGTCAAAACGGGCGAATGGTCGTCCGTCGAGATAACGGTGTAAAATCACGTCAATTCGCATTCAATTGCTCCCCGACAAAATGCATTTATACTTGACGCTTGTAAAACCACGTCGACACGCTCAAAACTTCGTTCCAGTGGATTTACATAGTCTAATTAAACCGTCTCGTGAATCTTCCTGCGTGAAATAACAAAGAACGATCGACGAACCGGTACCAAAATCGGCTATCAGAACCGTTCTTCTATCCGAATGCCATTCTTTTGATATCCCAGAAAGATCGACGTAAACGTGACGATACATCGCGAAGGAAGCCAACAAATTGTCGAGGCCGAGCGGTATCTTTCGATGGAACGGAAACCGTTGGGGCTGACAAATGGGGCGCAGATAGGAGCGTATCGGCGCGTGATCACCCATACGAATTAGGATCCGAAAAAAGAAAGGTGTCGGGGACAGAGAGGCTTCGTCCCGCGAACGAAAATCGACGTCGAAAGATCGTCCGTGACCGGGAGCGCAAACAGGGTTCGAAACAAGTAAATGTCGATTCTTTTTCGGGGCGTCGCGACGCGGTTCTTCACGTTCGACGCTTCGAGCACGGTTACTCTCCTTCTCTTTCTCTGTCTCTCCAGGTCGCCATTAGGATTCAGTGCAACTATCCGACTGCGATTCTCTCAGTCGACCGCTATGCAAATTTCCATCCCCCCTATCCTCCTCCCTTCTCATCCTCGTTTACATACGGATAGACGCGTATCACCGTTTGAACAGAGGTATCTTGTCTGAATTAATCTTTTTATCCCGACTCGCGAATACCCCCCGCCACACCTCCACCCGTTTACCTGTTGGCTTTGCTGCCTCGAGACAACGCGCAATTGTGATTTTCTTTCGTTCGCGAGTATCCTCCCGGCTCGTCTCGCAACGAAACGTTGTTTACCGTGAGCTGCTTTGATCTTCGTTCATCCAGTTGCTCGAGGGGATCTCTAGGTGTTGTTCAGTTCGTGTTCATTTCCAAGCACCTTTGCGTTCGTTTGAAAGTTTCTTTCACTAGTGGCGAGTCAAGACGGTATACGAGACTTCGTAAAAATTGAATTGAAGTGTCTAGATGGACTTTGACTCGCAGTCGGTAATTATTATGTCGAGAGAGTTTCTGAACCTGTTCCGACGATTTCTTCTTTCTTCGGTGCCCAATGCTACGACCCAGAATGGACTCAGTGATGGCCTTGTGACTTTGTCCCTGTTCCACGAAGATCTACGATTCAGATTCACCGCCCACACCCGATTCCCGACAACTGTCATACCATTTTGCCGGCCGAAGAACTGTTCCGGCGGTGTTCGCCAAGTGGAGACAGTTTCCAGGACGGAACGACAGTTTCGATTTTATCGACGACGATAGTTACAGGGGAGCATAACGATATACGACTGGAGTTTAAGGAAGGGAAAGGAGAGGGGAATATGTCGTTTCTTCAACGGTACCGCCCTGCTTCGCCACGGATCTTGTATAATTCAACGATTTCCTTCTCCCCAATCCACCTTGGATGACCAATGTACTAGTTCTTGAGACGTGGAAAATGCACTATATCTTCCTCACTCGTCTATAAAATTAAGAAATCGAGATTCAAGTGACGGTGACGTGATTACAAGTAAAATGGAATGAGAGTGTTCCTTTGAAAAAGGTATTATTGTTCCCTTAACAACTTTCCAATAAACATTTGACAATTGTAACCTTCCGAAGTTCATTCAGGGGCGTGACCTTGACAACATATGTCAAGGGTAAGATCATCGGTCGTTTTGCTTATCAATTTTACTAAAGTACGATACTAAATTTTTTTTTATATTAATTATTTTACAAATTGTGTACCCCAACTAAAATCTTTACAATACTACTCAGGGTGATGACCTTGACAATATATTAAAAAATAAAAAAAATAGGTGGTAGCTCCTTTATTGTAAATGTTTACCATATCGAGGAGTCCAGCGTGCGATATTCAAATGATTCGGGGTACGAGCTTTCACGAAATCGTCAAAAAAAAAAAAAGACTGTAGCCAGTGAATGATCCTTTGAATCGCTCTTTTTGAACGACATTCGTACTCAGGCGTATTCTAGTGGATTACTAAACACGTTCGCCCTTTCCCAGCGACACCCAAGGTGTTTCAAAGGCGCAGACATCATTTGCAACGCGTAGAAACAAAAGGACACGCGCGTCTACTCAAAATTTTATTCCGACGAGAGGCGGTGGCGAGGCTACGCGGTTTCTGGCTGGTGGTCTTTTGTGAATTTCAGACACGGGTAACGCCCGAGAATTATGAGACGACGCGAATGTGAATGTCCGTAACGTCGGGTTAATAAAATTTCTATGCGAGCCGGCATCTGCGTCCCTCGGGCGGGACCCTAATCCGAGACCTGAAATTTTCGGGAACACCACGACCGACGTCGTCGTATTTCAGACAAAGGGGGGCATTCGTGGTCCTTGGTGCGGATTTTCGACACCCAAAAATTGTGTTCTGAGACGGGAGAGTTTACGTCGAATTTAGGTTTGAATGAAGAAATATTTCTGTGAACGTGAATAATAAATTTGTTATCTTTGAGTTGTCGAGGTTACGGTAACTGATACATTTGTGCAGGCAAGACTGCAGTATTTATTTAAAGAAATTACACAGCAAACCGTGAATTTTGATTGAAAGTTCAGAAGAATTTGGTGGGATTGAAGGTGACACGAATAAATAAATAAGAATCGTATGAAAATTGTTTACACTTATTTGTTCTTTTGAAACTGTGAACGAATCTGTGAGTCACTGTATATTCCGAGGAGTTTCAACGAAATTTATATTTACAAATGGTAGATAAGTAATGATAGTTTAATGGTAATTTATATTATTGTTGGATAGTTGTAAGTTTAGTTGGGAATATTCTGAGGAATTAATGTTAACAATTATATAGTTTGTCACGTCAATTAAGTAGAGTCAGCTAATTGAATGCATCTGTCAGTAGTTAGACGGCGCGACAAGTAGAATAGTCCAACACTGGGCAGACAGCTCGGTTGGTGAAATAGGTCTGTCCTCGGGCAGATATATTCCCGTCTTGGCGGTACGGATCGCCAAGTATCACACGATTCTGTTGATTTTCATCCGTCTCTTGTGTCAATTGACCATTTTTCTCTCCTTAGAAATGAAGTTCTTCTGTCGTGTGTAGGTAAATTTAGCTGAGATTCCGTAACTTTTATTTCAAAGAATTTACGAAAATAATATTTACCTCCGCTTCACATTAATTTTTTATCACTGTGTCAATTTGACACTGAGGGACAAATTATGTTGAGAAAATGAGGGGTGGATGAGGATTAATAGAAGAATTTTCTAAGTAGAATCGGACCGTATATGATCAGACGATAAATTCCACAAAACTTTCAAAAAAAAAAAAAACAAATTACAACAGATATTCGGGGGTTCACACATAAATGAAACACCCTGTATACTTCAACACGATACATTATTCTGTTAGGCCAACAAAATCCACAATTAATTTCGGCACAAGCCGTTATATCGGTTAATAGAGTTACCGTCGCGGATACGTGTCCTTGGACGTGCAAGAATCGATCGAAAGGATCGATAGCGGTCTGGTCCTCGACCCTTTCACTTAAATACAAGTCAGTCACCGGTCGAGGTGGGGGACTTCGTGGCACTCGAAACAGGGCGGCCGCTGATTAATGTCCCCAATACAGGCGACGATGACACGGCGAGAAGTCACTCTAGGATTAAACGAAGCAATTTACTACGAGCCTCTTAATGCTCCTCTATCGGTCCCCCTTCTGGAGCTCGGATCGCGAATTAAAAAGCCTAGATACGCCTCGATATATTCCCATCCCTGCCGCTCACTGAGAAAAGGGGATTCGTGCGCGCACGAAACGGCGTTGCGATCAATCTTTTGCAATATTTACGCGGCTTCCCCTTAAGTTTTCGATTTATATGCAGCGGTGTATTACTAAGGAATATTGAAAGCGGCCGGATACCCGCGCCTCTGTGTCCCCGCCGAAACGTAAAACGGGTTGGGACTCCCTGTTTCCCCCCACTGCTGCCCCACGAAACCAGAAAAATCTGTGAAATCGATCGGTATCGGTGGTCTGTCTGAATACTCGGTACAGGAGATTGTATGTTGTGGAGAAGGGAGTGGGGGGGTCTCGATTGATCCGGCTGTCAGCCACTCGAAACGGAAAACCTTGTAATGCCGATGGATCGGTTAAATCTGAAAGCTCTCGTATCGCTTGACCAGGGAATCACGGCGTCCAGGATGTAGGTTTTCCGCGAGCAAACGTAGACGACCGAAAAAATATATCAACCGA